TTCTGTCCACAGCTGGAAAAACTCCTGACCTGGAGTGGGTGCTTGCTGAGTGAATGAATGAATGTAGGAAATAAAAGGGGGGAAATTTGAGTTTTTTCTTTCCAGGGAAGTGAAGTGTTAGATTCATGGAAGTATTGGGATTAGAGGCCCCTCAAGATTGTAAAGATACCTCCCTGTATGAAACCAAGAATGAGAATAAAGGATGAAGTGACTGGCGCTGGGCCAGGAGGTATTGATGGCAGAAGCAGGGCCACCCTCAGTTTCTTCACTGACACAATCACTGAGAATAAGGGTTGTTAGAAATTCTTATCTGCTCTTGGTACTATCTGCTGCAAACAGGGCCTGGCTGGGGAAGCCTCCTTCCCTTCTGCCCATTTTAGGGTGGATAATGATTCTTCTGTGTGGCCTGAGGCATCAGGTCTGATGAAGAATGGGCCCAACAGGAACCCACTCAGACCAAGGCTCAGCGTTTTCCAGGACACTCCCTTCAGCACCAAGACCCAGACAGAGGCCCACCATCTCCCCAGACCTCCAGGGCCTGGGGCCTCTTCCGCCCTGGCCTGGAGAAGCTGGAGTCCACCCCAGGGGAGGTGGAGAGGAGCCGGTGGCAGGTTGGACTCAGCAGCTAGCAGTCCCTAAATCATTCATGCTGGGGTGGGGGAGGCTGCGGAGGGGATTTTCGTAGATTATATTGAAAGAATTACAATGGCGAGGGAAAAGAGCCTAGTTCCCACAGTGTCCGGTCACTCCTGTGGGGGGCTGTGGGAGCCGGGTCTGGCTGCCTCTTTCTCTCCAGGGCAGCAGCACACAGTTTTTAATAATTAAGTAACTTTAATTGTCCTGGGAAAGCTGAGCTTGCCTTGGGGCACGCTGCACAAACTCATAATTAATGTTACCAAGAGAGATTAGCAAAGGAGAACTGAGAAATGATTCACTTTTTAAAAAGCGCCTTGCTGTTAAGCCTTGTTATCCTTAGTTTAGAACCTCATTTATCTGCTTTGAGGAGAGAGAGGGAGAGAGAGAGGGGGGCCGGGGGGGAAAAAAGTACCCAGCTAATGCATGTGAAATTAAAACTCCATGCCTTTGTAATGTGGTTTAGAAAACATCAGACCAGGAAAATGTTGCCATTTATTGATCCATTCTGGTGACTGAGGGAAAATTTAAGACAGGAATATAATTAATAAATAATAATAATAATACCTTAATAACAACTCATGCTTCTTTGATGCCATCTTTGTTGCTTAGAAATTGTCTTAATTTGGGATTTTTAAAAATAATTTTCTCTCTTTTTTTTTTTTGAAAGATGAATCAAATTCTGTGTTATTTTCAATGATTATATATACATTGATGCTAGGGAAGTGTCTAGCACTTCCAGGTTCAGGGAATTACTTGATGAATTCATGAGCACATGGATGAAAGAGGGAAGGACCTCAAAAAGGAAAGATTGTCCTTCTACAGCAATCCATGGATGGGCACCAAAGAGAGCAAAACCAGAAGATTCTGAGGGAGAGGTTTGTGATGGGGAAAGGAGGGTAGACAGAGAAACAGGTAGCAGTGGTGTGTGTGTGGCGGGGGAAGGACTTTGGCAGTAATGATAGAGCCAGGGGTGGGAGGAGAGGCCTCGGAAATTAGGAGTCGAGATAAGGGCTAAGATCCTCATGCATAATCAACCATCCATAAATAGTACACGATTGATTGCCCTAAACTGGTAGGTGTGCTTCCTGATCAAGTCCCAGTGGCTCCACAGCACTGCGCTGGTTTTTTTCTTCCATACCAGACAACAAGTGTTGGTGTCCTAAATTATGAGTGTCTCCATCTTTGGTAAACCAACGTGGGTGTTTCTTCTACTTAGTCAGCTGACATTGACTGAATCCCTCTGATGTTCTGGGTGCTGATTTTAACGTGGACATAGATGAAGAGACTGTGGCTCGATACCAGAATATCTGACACCCCCCCCCCCCCCCCGGGCACCTCGGTTTCTTCACGTGTAAGATGGGATGATAGAATGCCACGTGAATGTCCAGGAAGGTGGAAGTCCATAGTGTGAGTTCCTGAAGTAATTTTTCCAGAGAACTCCGTGGAGGAATTTTTGGGCAGGTGCTTCTTTTCTCTGGGCATTTCCGTGGCCTGGGTCCTACCCAGGGTACTGTTCTCATCCAGGGGCTAGTTAGGTGCCCCACCAGGTATTGCTCAGGTGGCTCCTCCTCCTGAGTCCTGGGGTGGGGGCTGGGAAGCAGTCTATCCCATGCAATCACCTGGAGGTGCTCAGCCCTTTCCTGAGATTGCTGTTCTGTGGCCTCTCTGTGGAGAGGCTGGTGAGTGAACAGGAGGTGGTGGCCTTCAGCTCAAGGAATGAGTCCTCACAGGGTATTACGTCTGAAGAGACGACTCACGGAGACTGCCAGCTGTTGAAGGCACAAAGCCCTTCTCCTCCTGGTGCTTCTCTGTTACCTCAGCCAAGTGTGGAGGTCTGAGCCACGGTGGCCTGAAGTGGGGTGGGGTGGGGTGGGAAGGGAAGGTGAGGTATCAAGGATACTCCAGTCCCTGAGCTTTTCCACAGAGAGGCTCCTGAGCACCTGGAAACCAAGACATTGAGGTGACCAATGCAGACCCACAGGTGGAGGAGAGGGGGGTTTTGGACTGGTCGGGCTCAGGGGCATAAATCAGATCACTGTCTTCCAAGGGAAGTTGGCTAGGTAGTGGCTATGGTCAGAGAATGCAGACTCTGATGATAATTAGTGTTACTAATAATAACAATGGCCCTCCAAACCATTCCGAACACTAGATGTTATGTGTATGTCCGCGTGTATGAAAGTGTGTGTATGTCCATGCTCAAAAGGGTAGCAAACAATACATACTGTCTTTAAACCTTGATTTCTTGCTCATAAAACCGTATCATGGGGACAGCTCCATATCAGAATATACAAAGTGGTGCCAATGTTTCAACGGTCAACTAGCACTTCATTTTATTGAACCACCGTTTTTGGCAGTACTAATAGACATTGGGGGATTTTATCCTTTGGTTATTCCTGGGTTTCCTTAAAATCTGAGCCTTCACATTATCTGTTAACATATTTGAGTGCAGCAGAAACTTCGGGGGGACAGATTATTGAGAAATGAATGTTCTACCCTAGGTCTATATTACCTGTTTGATTTGCTCATCCCTGCACCTCAGTTTTGCCATCTGTCCAGCAGGGACTTTGGGCTGTATCTGGTATCCCTTGTGCCTTGCAGGATGTCTGTCTCCAGTCCCTTGAGTCTCCCCAAACCCCAGATGCAGCCGAGTGATCACCTCACAGAGGGTCACCCCAGCTGTGTGTGGGTGGGGAGGCAGGCTGGGTGACCTGGTGCACCTCTGCTGTCTCACGATGCAATGGTGAACCCGGGCAAGTTTGGCCTTGCTCTCCTTGGGATCCAGTGTGATTCAGGCCGGTAGCGTGGCTTCCCCACCAGCAAAGGAGCTGCAAGGTAACTTTCCTGGCAAGAGCTCCCAGAATGTCTGATTACTCACCTGTTTTGCAACCGCAGCAAACTCCCAGCAAGAAAAGGAGGCAGCTAGCGTGGCTTCCTTCCTGAATTAATGACTTCAGCCTTACGAATGACTAATCAGTTCACCGCGGAGCAGAGCTGGGTGGTTGGGTTGGGGTTGGGGGTGGCAGCGAGGTGCCAGGTGTGGGCCATGCTTTCACCCTTTCTGTCCTCTGCTTGAATGCCTTTGGGTCCTAGTGCTCTCTTTTTAGGGGTCAAAACTGAGGCCAGACATCCTTCCTAAACACCAATGGGCACTGTCTCCCAGGGCCTGTGGACCTGGAAATTGTCGCTCTCAGCTGATTGCAAACTTCCCCTCCAACCTTAGCTTCAGTCAGGCAGAGGGAAAGCTAACTACTCAGGGAAAAAAAATCCAAGGTGAGAGGGCTACATAAATTTTATATAATAGATTCTGTTTTGCACCTAAGAGATTTTTGAAATTAACCTTTTCCTGGGAGAAGGCTTACAGGCAGTCAGAACTATTTAAAGGAGAAGTTTAAGACCAGAACTATGGATCTGGGACTTCTTCAAGAATGGCAGTGCTACCTTGGCTGGTGTCTTTGCCTCTCTTATTTCGGACAACTCATTTTAGATTCTAAGATGAATGGGGACTGGAAGGAATGCGTCTTATTTAAAGCAAGTTCTCCAATGCAAATCAAAACTACACTGAGATTCCATCTCACTCTAGTCAGAATGGCAATTATTAAGAATACAAGTAACAATAAATGTTGGCAAGGATGTAGGGAAAAGGGTCCACTCATACATTGCTGGTGGGACTGCAAATTGTTGCAACCACTCTGGAAAGCAGTATGGAAATTCCTCAGAAAACTTGGAATGGACCCACCATTTGACCCAGTTAAGCCATTCCTCAGCATACACTCAAAGGACTTAAAATTTGCATACTACAGTGACACAGCCACATCAATGTTTACGGCAGCTCAATTCACAATAGCTAAGCTATGGAACCAACCTAGATGCTCTTCAACAGATGAATGAATAAAGAAAATGTGGTACATATATACAAAGGAATATTACTCAGCCACAAAGAAGAATGAAATTATGGCATTTGCTGGTAAATGTGGAGGCTCTCATGCTAAGTGAAATAAGCCAATCCCCCCAAACCAAGGGCCAAATGTTCTCTCTAATATGTAGATATTGTAATAAGGGGTCGGGGTGGGAGGGAAGAATCGAA